TTGCCTTTGCTGTTTTGCACTCTCCTCTAGCTCTGATTTTATCCCTTCGCACGTATTTCCCATTTTTTCCTTTCGAATTTCGGTTTGCTGGCTGGGAAAGGACCTGAAGGACTGGTGCCTTCGCCAGTCGGGTTCATCTGCAATTGTTGCCAATGAGAGTAATTGTGTGCCGCAAGGGGTGAAGAAATTCTGCTCAGTGGAGGGAGGTGTCTGCATAATTGCATTTGTTAGTGCTCTAATTGTTAGGGCGGCCGAAGGGCCGGGTGAAAAGGTTAGTCCGACTAGGATCACAACAAGAGACTTTTAATAAGAAACCGACCGCTCCAATGTCTAAAAAGTCACTGGACTTGGCTGGGAATCCGAATAAACTCAGGGAGAATATAGTGGGTGTTTTCATTATCAAATCTAAAGGGTTTCTTATATTTTTATGAGCCTACAATTTCAAAAATTTATTAATACAACAAAAAGCAAGTGGAGAATTCGAAAAATAAAGCCTGTAAGATGAGTACAAATTTTAGTACTTATTGAAAGAAGAATTCCGAAATATTCAAAACGGACTTTAATCGAAATAAGTCTAATAATATTTAAATTTAAATAAAACGGTTCAAAGGATTTATTAAATCATATGTGCGCCATTCATTTTAAAATTTTTTAATTGTCAGGAATGAAATAACCTACAGACATAATAGTTATAGTCAGAATAATGTGCATCCTTTTAAGGAGGAAAGGCTATCAGATGTACCTTTATAAAGCTGTTTTAAGAACGATCGTCAATGATAACGTTTTTAGAACATTTTGCTTGTTTTGTGGGAAAAACTACAAAGAATCTTACTTCCAAAGATATATCCTTGGCTAGAACCACGTTAACCATAGTATTCCATTGGAATATTAAGAGTAATTGTTAAAAAAAAGGTGTTCACTTTTCTGTTTATCGATTTGCATGATTTCTTTCCGTTCGACCCTAACAAGAAAACATATAATTTGACCGTGTCTAAGAGGGAGAGAAGTCATCTGCTGATTTGGCCCCATGAAAAAGCTTGTTATGTTTATTCTAAAATAATTGAGGACACGTGCCCTATCAGCGTCAATCAAGGCAAACAGAGAGTCAGAGGGCAAGGTGGAGTGCCGATGAGACTTTCTATAGCAAAACGTTTTCGCACTTATGCACATCATTTAGTGCATTCAACGCTGGGAACCCGCATGAAAGGAACTGCAGCGTGTCCTTTGGTGGTTGCTCGGCGTCTGCGTTAAGTAGCAGGCTAACAACAACAACGGATTTTGCGATAAGAAATCTTAAATCGCTACCCTTCACCGGGCCGCACTTCTGACCCGCTGCGCGTTTCCATGCCAATTTAATCAAATTAATATTCTCACGTGCTCTTTTCTGCTGTCGCACAGCAGGTCCTAAGATAAAGGCAAAGGACAAATCACCCAGCTAATAAAATGATAGACATATGCCCTAGCTGTAGGTGGTCCACGCCTTCTCTCTGGGCTGATTTTTATTAGCCAACAATTAAGGAAAAGGGGAAGGAGTTGTGTCTGAGTTATTTGACTGAGTGCCATGATGTTAAACCAGGAAGAGCTTATATTACTAATAATGCAAGCTATTATTTTTTGTATTTACATCTATTTAAAATTAGTCTACATCGAATACGAATGAGAAAAACCATGTGCCAATTTTATTTTAAAGCAAGGATTTAAGCTAACTCGAGAATCTGATGTGTGTCTATCCAGTAAACCTATCGATCATAACATACTGCATACTTAGTTTTTTAATTTGAATTAATGCACTTTTAATCAAATTTTTACAATTTAAAAAAAATCGCAAAAAAATGGTTTTTCTTCTGACATGCTTAAATAGATTCGTCAGCTGACTCTGACAATAATATATAATGGTTAATAGGGTCGGAAAGCCTGCCTAAAATTTGGATACCCTGCAAAATGAATAATAGACCTGTGCGTATACGTAATTTTTTGGGGAAAAATGTAATGTGTAATATGTTAAATAACATTCATTCATTCAATCAGAAACAATGCTTTCTTCGGAACTCCAAAGTTTGTATACCATTTCCGTTTGTTATTAAACTGAATAGGAGCATATCGAAATCCTGTAATAACTGAGCTAAACATTTTCGCAATCTTCAAAATTTATTTATAGATATTTTTATTTGAAAATTTCTTCGTCTAAACATAGTTAAAAAATACTCATAACTACGCCAAAAAATCATTAATATTGATTTGGAATGCTGTTCTGTGTTAGTTAATAAATCTACATACTCCATTTAATATTTAAAATTTTGAAATTCATTATAAAATTATTTCTGATCAAGAATATATATGATTTATAGTCGAGCGGTAGGCCACAGCAGCCAATGCTCATTATCCTAAGTTAGCCTTTAGTTTACAACCAACCGCTAGCTTTATATAAATAAATAAAATAAATATGATTTATAGGGTAGAAAATGACTGCTTCGCTGTGTTGCATGCATTTGAGTAAAGCTTATAATACCCTGCAAGGGTATACAAAATATTTGATGTTCAGTTAAATTTAAAGGATAATATTACGTAGCTTGTAGGGGGGATTCCGGTACATAATGAAGTATAAAGTACCATTAAATCTTCGGGATTGACGATCTGCTGCGAGCTTCTGTCTTCATACGGTTAGGTAGCTTACCCTTATGGCTAGCCATTAACGATCAGCAAAAAGAAAGGGGCTTTAATTAGCAATTAATATATACATATATTACATATATATATATTTATTTGTTTTTTAATGTCATGCACATATTATATCTTTTATTCAGATTTCAATTTAAACTTTTTTTAATACCATTTGTAAGTAATATAAATATATTCCAACATTGTTATGCTTTCGATTACTATTAGTTTTTGGTTTAATTATAGTAATATCTCGGAGGATCTTTCGTCTTCGCCCATTTAATGCTAATTGGGTTTCCAAATAATTTAATGATTGATGTCCTCACAAAATCAGAGACATTTTCCACTCCAGGGACATGACGCTTCACTCGCTTTTCCTCGTGATCTTTCGAACACCACCCTAATGCGCCCGCTTTAGGGCTTTAACCTAATAATGATGTTCGACTTACTTTGCGTGACTTATTTTATTAATAAAACGAGCAAATTTGTCTTGCTTTTGGTCGCATCATCAGCATTCTGTTTCTTTCTCTCCCTGCCTCTGCCGTCTCGCCAAAGCTCTTACCTCCTCCCCACAGGAAGTGACTCCCACTCTTGAGTCCTTGCAAAGAAGAGGACGAACATACTGCGAAAAAGCAACCCCTTTTTCGAGCTGACCTCTGATTGGCTGCCAGTAAAACAGGACTTACGCCCCCTTTCTGAGTGCCGAGTGCCTCGGTGGGTTGGGTAGGATGGCATGTATTGTGGGTGGTGTACGGCTATGCTGGGCTTTGATTTCATTAAAGCAAGCGTCGAGGAAAACATGTGTCAATGCGAGGAGAGCAATATGTATCGAAGCAGAGGAGGATCGCATCCACACCCCCACCGCCTAGGTAGGTACAGTTGTATTGTCTCCTCTCAGCGCCCACGGAACGATTGTTTAATTCAATTATAATAATTGTGGCATTTAATGAATTCAATACCTTGTGACATCAACCAGCCGACAACAATGGCGGCCGTGACACGTTAATTACCAGAAACGGTAGTTGGATGCCAGCGCCGGAAGTGGCGACGGGTGGGTGTATTTAATAGTCAGTCGCACAAAATGGCGGCAGAGCAGCGACGTCGACGCGTTGTTGTGCAAATTATTTGCGGTTATCATGGGTCAATTAAACAACGCTTTTGCCGCATAAGGACCAAAGGACCTGGCTAATCGTGCCCAGAGCGGTTGCCTGAAGAGACGGAAAAATGGGAGCTAAAATCGAGCGAGCGGGACAACTAGACATGCAAATAAATGGGGGTGTTTTCTGGGGGATTTCCCCGGAAATTCGGTGGATTCCCCCATTGGTATCTTCACTAAGCGGGCACCGCAAACAACCAGCTGCATTGGATTCAAGGGGGGCCAGAAAGCACACACCCGTGCTGCAGGGGATGCCGGGATGCAGGGTTGCTGGACAAGGACTCACCCAGTCGCTCTCTCGCTCGCACGCGCCTCCTGCAGCTCGCCCGCTCGCACACGGCTGCTGGCAGCTCGTTTAGAGCAATTTGCTGGTTGATGTGCGGTGATTGCCGCAAAGTCAACGCGACCGTCAACGAGCAAACAACATAAGCGCGTAGCCCAAGGACATACGAGCCACGGCACACCCTTTGCTCCGCTCTCCGCATCCGTATCCGCATCCGTATCCGCATCCGATCCGATCCGTATCCGCTTCTGCATCCAGTCCCTCCGACATGGCAATGCTTAATGAGGCCAGCTTGAGTCCCGTGGATGCACATGCAACCACACCTACGCACAGCAAGGTTGCGGTGCCCAGTGCCACCACAATGCTGACCACAAAAACGCCGTTCTCCATCGAGCATATATTGTTTCAAAATTTAAATAGTGCCAATAATAACAGTAGTAGTAATAGCCATAATTATGGCCACAGTCAGAAAGGCAGCAGAAATGCAGTAAAAAATGCCAGAAGCGGCAGCTTTGCCCACGACAATAATCCACATAAGCATCCGTCGCAACACTCGCTCCCATCGCCTTCGCATCCGTCGGCATCCTCTTCCGCGGCTACTACAACGCGCAGCGAACAGGGAGCATCGGGATATGGGAATGATATTTACCCCAAGTCCTTGCACAACACTCAACGGTTAGTTAAAAAATAATTGTCTTTTAGAGCTTTAGTGTAACAACGTGAACCAAACTGTTAACAAATAACTTGCATATAATTATGAAAATAAACTTTAATTTCTAAAATTTTAATCCATTGCCAACGGTTTGACTTTTAACTATATGATTTGGAATAATTTACAAATTTACTGTCGTAGGACGTGCTTCTTATGGAAAAATTATTAAAAAAGAAGCAAAGACAGTATTTTCATAAAACTGGTAACACAGATTGGCATAATACAAATTTTTCTTATTTACATACCGATTTAAATAAAATGTCGACCGAGTTTCAATTATCGTTTCAAAACCGTAACCATACGTAGCTCAGGCCAAGAATTTCCATCTTGGATCCTAATTTTATAAGTTAAACTTATTTATTGATTTCGCAAGATGCTGATTAAAATAAATAAATACTAAAAAATTGTTTTGTTTATAGTTGCATCCTAATTTTCCTATGACAACGATATTCTGTCGTCTTCCAAACCGACCCATTCCGGCGTTATATTATTACAATAAAAAAATTCAATTTGGGATGATAGCTTTGAGGGAATGAATGTCCACAGATTTTTAAATAAAAGTAATTACTTTACCTCTCACAGTAAACTTTTGACCAAAAAATAAAATAATATCGACGCATTTTCATAACTTAAATGAAAATGCGTCGGAAAAACTCAATTTAAAACTATAATTCATTTTAACACAGTTCTTTTACCTACTGTGTTTAAGCGTTGGCCAACACTCACGTTCAGGAGCTTCTCATTATAGTACTGATCAAACGGCACAGCCAATGGGTTCTACGACAGGACATCCGCCGCCTCCACCAGTACCAACGTCGCATCCACCGCCTCCTCCTCCACAGAATGGAGGAACTGGAGCACCCAATGGAGTTCTATATCCCAATGCACCGTACACGGATCATGGATTCCTCCAAATGACTCTCGGATATCTGTCTCCATCGTCGGGCACTTACAAATCCGTAGATCCATATTTTCTCTCCCAAGGTAAGTTTCATTTTCACGAAACTATACAATTATTTTAAAATTAAACAATCAGTGCCAACGATTTTACATTCCGAACCTCTTCAACATAAAAGTTTTGCCAGAACCTATAGTTTTTTTTTATGGTTGATAATTTCCTAGAGTATTTAAATATAAGTCTGATAGTTTAAGTTAAAACTGATAGTGCAGTGATAGCTAAAATGCAACAGAAGTGCATTGCTATGTACATATATCAAATCTTCTGGCCAATTTCTGGTCGAAGTCTAAGTAATTCAGAAAATAAAACAATTAATACAATACTACAAATCGTAGGTAGAAATATATAACTGATTCTTAAATAAGAAATTTATTAAATAAGATAGAATATATAGAGTCCAGGCATTAAGAAACAATTTGTGGCTTTAAATTTAAATAACCAGATGGTGTCTAATTTTCTGGAGTGGTATTTAGAAGGACCAACTCTAAAAATGTATCTATACAATTTGTGCAGACTTTCTAGTATCACGAGTCGGTGTAAATGGACATTAACACTGAAAGTTTTCATTTTTGAAAACTATAACAATGTTAACAAATTTCGTCGTTTCGACCTTGCAGCCAGCCTTTTCGGGGGAGCGCCCTTCTTTGGAGCACCCGGCTGCGTGCCGGAGCTGGCCCTCGGCTTGGGAATGGGTGTGAATGCTCTGCGTCACTGCCGTCGGAGGAAAGCCCGCACGGTGTTCAGCGATCCGCAGTTGTCCGGCCTGGAAAAGCGTTTCGAGGCGCAACGCTACCTGTCAACACCAGAACGGGTGGAATTGGCCACGGCGCTGGGACTAAGCGAGACGCAGGTGAAAACCTGGTTTCAAATCGTCGCATGAAGCATAAGAAACAATTGCGTCGGCGTGATAATACCAATGGTAAGTGTTTTGTTTAAAACCAAAAACTAATAGGAGTTTTGATTTCAATAAATTGTTCGAAGATTAAGAGAGCTATCAAATAAATAACCAGTAAAAAACAGTGTATACCCAAGAGACGTAAATCGAGAAGAAAAGCTATGCGGTTTACTAGAAAGATTTTCAATCATGTGCCGCACAAAATTAATATGCAAGTATGTAAATATACGTATTTACAATAAAAAAAAAAAAAAAAACAATGAACTAAAGAAGTTTTTTGTAGTTTAAAATTTGTTACATTTTCAAAGTTATAAAAGCAGCACTTTATAGAGTGCTGGATAGCTTCTTTGAGTAACTTTTCATCGTTCAATTAGCCCTTTTGGCTTTTAGCTGGTGCTTTGAGTTGCCGAAAGTTTTCTTCAAGTTTCTCCTCAAATCAAATTAGTTCTAAAATCTGTGCAATTTTCTTTGACTTTTCCATTCCGCAGAGCCCGTTGACTTCTCACGCACCGAGCTGGGCAAACAGGCAGGGGAAGCCACCTCCTCCTCCGTGGACACCAAGCTCGCCAAGTTGAATTCTGGGTCCGGCGGAACGCCTACTCAGCATACAAACGAACATCAGCAACTGCAAATGTGTCTCATGCAGCAGGGATACTCCACGGATGATTATTCGGACCTCGAGGCGGACACCGAGGACGACGAGGACAATTGCAGCGATGTGGACATTGTTGGGGACTCGAAACTCTATCAGTTAACATAGACGGTTTGATCGACACCAAATAATTCGACCTAAGCTAGATTTTGTTAAATTTTAATTTCGGGGAAATACAAGGTTATAAAAAATTATAGCTTTGCACTTCTTGTGTTTGTTTCCTTGCCAAACCACCAAGGATAGAATTATTACTGCAAACCTGGACAATATTAGGTGTTAATAGTTTACAATTTGTGCACTTTTCCTGAAACCTTAAAATGCTGCCATATGCGTATTTAAAGATTGACGCCATCTGATTGTATTTCCCCCAGAGAAAAATTAAAAGCAAAGCCTTGTAAATACTAAAAAATTCTTTAATGAGCTGCGTTCTAGTCGTGTATTAACCATACATCTAATCAAACTTAGTGATTGTATTCTAGTTTACAATAAAGGAACAGAACAGAATAATATGAAGAGTCTGAATTGCCTTACCTGGTTACCGGGATGGGCACTTATTCTTCCTTAATGTAGAGTCAATCAAATCCAATTGACAAAATAAAGTACCATCTAATATGGTTAAATATAAGGCGTTTGATTATGGGGTTGACTGGATAGATTAAATTGGGGTTGCATGAACCCACTTAACAACAATTGTAAATTTCAGACAGACATTTTGGGTAGATACTTATTGTTTCGTGAGGGTGGGTATGTGTGGGTGTATGTTAAATATTTCAAATTGATTGTTAATTATGGTTTAACAGAAATGTTCAAAAAGACAAAGTTTATATATGTATATTATATTTTTAATTTGAAAAATTAAGCGAACTGCAAAGCATCTTCGACTCTTATGATCATTTATGGGAGAAATTCTAAGGTATTTTTATTTATTGCAATAACGTACAACATCAATTATTAATTAAAATATATCTATAGTTATAGATTAGCCAAATTTAATTCATTTGCAAATATGTTTGTTGTTGCATATTTTCTACAAAACAAAAATGACATAACATCTATTAAACATTAAAGTTCGTATACCTCCATGCCTCGAGCACTGGCACTTATCTCAGACACCAAGTTTTAAAATTAAATTTTTATTTTTTAAGTTGTTCGGGGTAATCGTTTTAGAAGCGAACCACTGAATGTGTATTTGACTTTTCACACACTGTAGACCTTCTAACTCGTTGTTTACTGCAGTTTGTATAACTGACAACTTTGTTGTTTATTAACAATTAAGAAATATTGGGAAATCACGATTTATCACCATTTTAGGAACATCATATAACGGACTAAAGTCTATGCCACATATGTAGATGAAATAATCGCTTAACGTAAAACAAATCAAAACAGCTTGAGCAATTTTAAAAAAACATTCGTAAATATATATAATTAATTGTTGTATTATTTATGTATACTTGTACATATACATAAACATTAATAATATTTTATATTTTTGAAAGTATATATATTGTATATATTTTGTAGGTTCTAGTTGGTACGTCTAGTCAGACAAAAATTAAGAACAGATCAAGGGAGACGTAAACAAATAATCTAATCAAAGGTCGAAGCAATGACAAGTATAAATTATATGTACTTTTTTAGTCACATATGTTCGTATGTACTTAAGCTAAAGCTTATCATTATTGATAAGTTAAATCTAAGGAGACGAGCCTCCACCGATCGAAATTGTTGAATTGTTGATAAAAGGCAAGCAAGTCACTTAGTACACACAATTGCACTTATTTCAAAAATGACTGAAAACACTAGCTAAGGTCCTTAAGGTTATTTTTATATAAAACCATATATAGAACTAGTAGACATTTTTTATTTTAATATATTAAATACTATATATATGTGTATGTGTGTATGTATGAGTACTAAAGTCCTTTTTATATTATGAAAATAAGTAAAAATCTATGCTCATTTCTCTTCATTTTCCAACTTTCGATTATCTCTTTATCTGCATACTCTCTTCATGTTGAACTCTCTCTCTTTTATTTATATACAGATGTTTGTATACTATTTACGCGATATCAGTCCGTTTCGTTGCCAGCTGAAAAGTGAAGAAAATAAAATGAATAAAAGCCGAACTCCAAATACCCTTCAACCGAGATCTAAAAGAATCGTTAACATGAACATACATAAGTCCATTCGATGACCCCAAAAGTAGAATAAATACTTTACTTTAAAGAAAAGAGTGACATCGAAATGACTCGAGGTCTTCCCATCTGGTTCTTATCGCAGTAGAGTGCGTGGCAAGCACCTCCTAATAGTGAAAGTGACATCTTCAAAAGAGTATGCCACAAGCAGTGGCGTGGACGTGGACTAAAGCCAACAAGCAGTCTCTTTAGTACAGCCGACGCCTGCGGTTCGTTTTTTGTTAGTTGCCTGTCTTGTCTTCCCCGTGTTGTAAGTGAAAGTGCATTTCGTTCTCTTGAATTCTTCGAAGCTCCACAAGTGTCCCAGGGGTCACGGCCAAGTTGAGGACAAGTCTGAAAATCATTTGGTTCCCTTTTCTACAGATGAATGCAATACGTATAAATTATATACAACAGACACACATGATTAGCTCAGTGGCTACTTATACCCGTTGATATATGTATATTCATCTAATTGAGTCTTCCTAAAAGTCGTTCCAAAAATAAATAAGGGGGCACGTGTCAATATATGTATGTACATATGTATTTATAAAAATCTTGCGGAAGAAATATTATTTTTCCAGTTTGATTTTATATAATTTCTTTGATACATTTATACAAAAATATTTGTAGAACAAACCGGTTATCATTTACCAAAAAAAAAACAAAACAAGACATACAAAAAACACGTATACGCAGAGTGACAAGTTTTAATAGTGACTTTTCATGCAACAAGCCCCTCAAAGCGGAGGGAGATAAGACCTATGTTATAAGTGACACAAGCGAACTCAAAAGGTCCTCTGACTTGACCTTCATAGGAGGTACATGGGCACTAAGTAATAATTGGTTATTGTTTTTATTTTAATGGATTCCCGCAGGAACCGCATAATTTACAGAGCATACTAGTGCCCAATAATGGCGGCCAGTAATGGTAATTGTAAGTGACCTTGCTTTCTACTCCTTGCCTCCTGCCAGTTGTCTGCATTCCCGCTTTACCACAAAGGCAACTATTTCTACCCTGCACATCCTGCAAGTCCTGCATCTTCTGCACCTCCTGAGTCCCGCAATCCGCCCAATAATTAGCTTCTCCTATTAATTTTTCCAAGCTTGTATGGTTTGCATGATTTCTGATTGAAGACCCAATGATCAAGTTAACTTTGTTTTATTAATTTGATCGCAAAAAGTGGTTTAGGCAGGATTTTCAGGGTTTTCACTCACCGTCTATTCCACTTATGCTTTTTAATACAATTTTATAAATTCCTTAGTTTTCTAAATATTTTGTATGTTGTGATAACAAAAATAATAAGCTTTACTTTTACCTTGAAGTTTAATATGAATGTACGTTTTGTATCTGTGTTTAAAAGTCTTAAATGAATATTATTATTATCTGTTTCAAACCTTTAGCTATATAACTTTGTATATTTTATAGCAACTAACTATTAAACGATAATAAAAATCAAACAATTTGTATGCAAATTAATAATCTTTAATCTTCAATGTTATTTGTTAAATTCTACAAATGAGTTAAAAACAATAACAATTTTGTTCACTTCACATATTTTATACTCAAAATATAAAATTCCCAAATAATATTAATTATTTTCATAGCCAAAATGAGTCAACAAGGACCTGCCTTCGACTCCAATGCGATGACGCTGACCCGCTTCGTGCTCCAGGAGCAGCGGAAGTTCAAGAACGCCACCGGAGACTTGTCGCAGCTCCTCAATTGCATCCAAACGGCCATCAAGGCAACTGCATCGGCGGTAAGGAAAGCCGGAATTGCCAAGCTCCATGGCATAGCCGGTGACGTTAACGTCCAGGGTGAGGAAGTGAAGAAGCTGGATGTTTTGTCCAATGAGTTGTTTATCAACATGCTTAAATCTTCTTACACAACATGTTTGATGGTTTCCGAGGAGAACGAGAATGTGATTGAGGTGGAGGTGGATAAGCAGGTAAGCAGGTTAAAAAAATTCCCATTTTTAGCATCGAAATTTATCAATATTTTTATATGACAAATATTGCGATAAATCAAAGTTTAAAAATATAGTTTAAAAATCATATATAAGCCAAAAAGGCATTAATTTTATTTCGGAAAGCAGTCCTATGTTAGTTTTTGTTATGTTAATAAAACTGCATACTCATTTTTAAATTCGGAAATTAAAATTTTTAAAAATAATGTTCAAAATCTTAGCGATGTAACCCCTTAAAAAATTATGAAAAAGTTTCAAAAATGTATATTTCGACCGAACATGGCTAGATCTACTCGGCTGTTGATCCCAATAAAGAATATAAATGATTATAGGGTCGGAAATGACTTTTTCATAGAATTACAAGCATCTGAGTAAAACTATAATACCTTGCAAGGGTATAGTTACAAAACTATTTATGTCTTACCACATTGTTATTTTTTCTTAGGGTAAATACATTGTTGCTTTGATCCGCTGGACGGATCCTCGAATATAGACTGCCTCGTGTCCATTGGTTCAATCTTCGCCATTTACCGCAAGAAGAGCGATGGTCCACCTACAGTTGAGGATGCCCTGCAGCCGGGCAATCAGCTGGTGGCCGCTGGATACGCACTATACGGCTCTGCCACGGCCATTGTTCTTGGCCTTGGCTCTGGAGTTAATTGCTTTACCTATGACCCGCCATCGGTGAGTTCATCCTGACCGATCCCAACATGCGGGTGCCAGAGAAGGGCAAGATCTACTCCATCAACGAGGGATACGCGAGCGACTGGGAGGCGGGTGTCTTAAATTATATTTCTGCCAAGAAGGATCCCACCAAGGGTAAGCCATATGGTGCCCGTTACGTCGGTTCCATGGTTGCTGATGTTCACCGCACCATAAAATACGGAGGAATCTTCATCTACCCAGCTACCAAGTCGGCTCCCAACGGCAAGCTGCGCCTCCTCTACGAATGCAACCCCATGGCCTATCTGATGATCCAGGCCGGTGGACTGGCCAGCGATGGAAAGATTAGCATTCTGGACATTGTTCCCAAGAAGATCCACGAACGCAGTCCCATTTTCCTGGGTTCCAAGTCTGATGTCGAAGAAGCACTTAGTTATCTGAAGTGATTTTTATAGTTAACGAATAAAGAAAATTTTAAATATAATTTTATTAACAATTTCGTTGATTACTTTGAACTTTGATAATTATAATTATCAAGTCCCATTTTCCCAATAGCCGCAAAAGACTAAACTTTATTTTTGATATGCTTACACTTACCACAAAACCACAAAGAGAAAAGAGGTTCCTAAAGTGATAATACAAAATCCAACAGTTGGCAATTAAAATTAACTGACGCTATATAACAATTACTTTTACTTTTATTAATATTTATGAAACGTAAAAGGAAAATATTTAAAAGGCGTTTGCCTTGTGCTTTGGCACGAAACTAAAGCCTTCGGGTACCCGACCCAGCAGCGATTCGCTCAGCTTTACCCAGTCAGCTGCGTTACCGGAACTCATAAGGGTCTCCATTTCGTCGCGTCCACGGTATTTTTGGGGTCGAGCGTTGATCTTTTGTGGAGGAGCTTGCTGCAGTGCCTCCGGTATGTAGCGATACAAGAACGACTGCCACTCGAGGAGAAATCGTCGCGTAGTCTCCACACCTTTGGTGTCCGAGCCCCAATGCTCAAGTCCATAGTTGCAGTACTTGCGCAATAATTCGTAACGTTGGCCAGAAGATGGCTCCCAGGCCTTGTGCTCCTTTATTTCCTGGAAAATCCAGGGCTTAATGAGCGCTCCTCGTCCAATCATCACTGAGCTGACATGAGGAGCCATCTTTCGCCTCTCCACGTAGTCCTCGTAGCTAAGAATGTCCCCGTTGCCGATCACTGGCATGCGTTTGGCTTTGGCAGCGCACTCCTCAATGTAGCTCCAGTTGGCGTGCTTAGTGTAGCGCTGCTCCCTGGATCGCCCGTGGAGGGTTACGGCGGAAGCACCCCACTCCTCTACCATGGGAAGCAGCTCGTGTGCTACCGATTTGTCCGCATAGATTCCGGTGCGCATCTTCACGGTGAAGGGCAGACGATCTGACAAGGCCGAACAACTGCGAACAGTAAGCTCAAGGATATTTGTGCGCCTCATCAATGCGCTACCTCCACCTTGCTGGTAAATTAAATCGATAGGACAACCAATGTTAAGATCTATGAAATTCACTTGGGCGGTCTCTGCAATGACCTGTGCAGCCTGGGCGATCATGTTTGGATTGTTTCCGCACAATTGCACACCAAATACGTCCTCGCTTTCGTGGCGCTTGGTCAAAGCCCACTCCTGACCTAGGCCCTTAACCAGGGGCATAGCGCAGGCCATCTCGCCGCAAGTGATATCTGCACCGAACTCCTTGCAGATGCGTCGAAAGGGCAAGTTCCCTACAGTGGTCAACGGTGACAAAAGGAGTTTATCGCGGAAATCAACGGCTGGTTTTTGTTCGGCATCTCTTCCAGTATTGGAGTCATAAGTTACACAACCCGCTGAAGTTCCAGTATCAACGGTGTTGTTATCCTGATTGACTGGATCAGTGCTTTCTGGCTGTGTATCCGTCGTAGGTTCTGACTGCTCGTTGGTTTGGATAGGCTGCTCTTCTAAGGCATCTTTGTTATTTTTCTGCTCCTCTTTTTGTTTTCGGGAATCTCGTAGTTTCTCTGCCCGCTTGATGAGCTCCTTGCTTTGGCTAAAATCGTAGTCGCGCTTCCGCAGCCGCACCTGAAGTTCTAAAAATGCGATTAGCTAAGACGATTTTTATTCTATATTCAGCACAAACTACAATACCAACCTGAGGTTATACCATTGCACGTAGTGGGAGCATTTTCATTGTACTCCTGCTTCCTTATGTTCCTTCCAAGCTCATCCGTGTGGTTCTTGGCAAACCGACAGCTTACTCCCCGCGCACAGTAGCCTTTTGTGGTGTAAACATAGCACTCAGGGCCAAGGTCCTCGCCCTTAGCCGCCAGAAAGGCATCCAGATCATGAACATAGCGGCAATTTGGCACGGAACAGGGTTCTCCTCCAGTTCCATCAATTAGAGAGTGACAGAGATGCGAATACCGCTCATCCTTGAACACTGGTCGATTCTTTGAGAATACAAAATTTAACTCTCACTCTTCGTAAGAAGTTTCAATAAGGATTATTTTCTCACTTTGTTTTGACCCCGTTTGCGTTCCTTTTTGTTCCATTTATTGTTTCCACCGGGATCCTTAGCTGCGCCACCTTCAGCTTCACCTTCCTCGCGCTTTCTCTTGTTGGTTTCTGCTTTGTCGAATGACAAGCCGCTCTCGTTGCCTTCTTGGAGAAGGTATCTGAAGGAGATTGTCCATATACTATTAATTTATAAAGAGTTTGGGAATACTCACTCCGGTTTTATATAGCAAATACCCGCCTCCATTTCACGTGTTGGCCTGTTTGCTTTATTGTTTTCTTTATCAATCAGCCGGTCACAAAATAAACGTGCGAAGAACCGGCGATAGTACTATCGATAGCTTAGAAAGAAATTTGAAAATTCAAATCATCAATTTTCTGGACTATTAAGACCTGTGAACTCGCATTTATTATGCTTCTTTAACTTTAAAAACAAAATAGAAAACTAATATATTCCTAAAGTATGGATAATTTTTAGTTACCGCGTTGTTTTAAAGTTTTATTTAATAAAATAGTGTTGGAAAATGCAAATAAGCCCCAAACCATCGATAATAACACCAGCAAAGAAAACTATCGACAACAGAAAACGCATTTTGATGGTTCAGCTGTTTAAATTCCTGTTAAAATCCACAAAGGCGGTAGGAATGTGATTGCAAAACGAAATTAAAATAATCCAATTGCTATCCCGCCGTAGCCCGCCCGAGCCCACTTCCGACCCAGCTTCTTGGACACTTTGCGGCTGGCAGTCCGAGGAGGACATGGAGGAAATGGGTTGCCCAAATACGGAGGAGTCGGCGGTCAGGGTGGCTGCGTCTATTTCGTGGCCAAGGAGGGGCTTACGCTGCGCAAAGTGGCCCAGGGATTGCGGGACAAGCGTGTGGCCGCTTCCAGCGGCGAGGACAGCAGCAAGGCAAGCATCTTTGGCCGGCGAGGAGTGGACCAGCGCATCGAGGTACCGGTGGGAGTCCAGGTATATGACGAGCGATATAAGCTGATTGCTGATCTCAACGAAAACGATGCGACCTGCATAGTGGCAGGCGGAGGAACTGGTGGTTGCACAGGAACTAACTTTTTGGGACGTCCCGGTGAGAGCCGCACTGTGAATTTGGACTTGAAGTTGATAGCGGACGTAGGACTCGTCGGATTTCCCAATGCCGGGAAGAGCACGCTGCTTAAGGCCGTCTCCAATGCAAAGCCCAAGATTGCGGCTTATCCCTGTACGTAATTCGTTTGCTTGCATTATACGATTTCATGAAAAAAATATTGTTTTCATTTTTAGTTACCACTATCCGGCCGCAGATTGGAACCGTGGAATACAGCGACTTGCGCTCCATCACAGTGGCAGATCTTCCTGGTCTTATCGAGGGAGCCCACGCAAACTTCGGCATGGGCCACAAGTTTCTCAAACACATCGAACGTACCCGTCTACTCATCTTCATGGTGGACATCTTCGGCTTCCAACTGAGTCCCCGACACCCACATCGCGATTGCCTGGCTAACATATATGCCCTGAACAAGGAGTTGGAGCTCTACGACCCAACTCTGCTGGAAAAACCCAGTGTGCTGTTGTTAAATAAAATGGACAAGGATGGCGCCAGCGAGATCTTTACGAAAATGAAGCCGGTCATCACTGACTTGGCTAGCGGGCTGGCGCAATGCCCCGAGGAACTGCGGCCAAAGCAGGTACTGAAGTTCGAGAGTGTCGTACCCATCTCGGCAATGAACTCTACAAAGGTGACACAAGTAAAGTCGCAGTTGCGGAGGACACTATTACGACTGGCCGAGAAGCAATTCCTGGCAGATGAGGAGCAAATTAAAGAGCAGTTGCAGCAGCGCGTGGGTCTTGTGGGACCAAAAATTACTTAGTTGAAATACATAACAAAATTTCACGTATACATGTGATTTGTTAATAAAGTATATAGTATGTTTTTGGTTTGCATCAAAAGTCTATTTATGATCCAGCTTGAATTCTTCTATTTAAGCAAATGAGATCCTTAGTTTTGAACACTAAAGTTTATCTTTTATATTATTTTAAAAATGTAGAAACTAGTCAAGTACCTCATGTGAGTCGTTAAATTGTTAATTAAAAGACAAAAACTAATTACAAGTTACATAATCCTTAAAGCTTTTAATGAAAACATTGAACTGGTTAATTGTAAAAAACCTTGGGCAGATTTCGACTTGCTATTTGTAATAAAGAATTTTGCAAATCCGACAATCTTTATGAAATCCACCAATTTAAATTGCATATTTAATCAAATTTGAAATTATTGGCGGTCTCAAACAGTTGGCAAAAAGCTTGCGGATCTGGTATATTTAAAAAGGCTCTAGGGGTGTATTTTCGGTATATTCTAACGACCAAGCTGCAGCCCCACTTTGTTGTTGTCTGGTAGTCGTCTCTTCGTCGCGCGTCGGAAGAAGCAAAGCATAATAAAATGATTAAAATCCAACAGCCGCCGAAAAGCATCTCGATTTTCCATTGGATTCTAGTTGCAGAGTGCCATCTGTGAAGTGCCGTGCCCCAGGGCGTGAAATGCCGCCGAAGGACGACCGCCAGCGGACTCCTCGACAATGACAGTTCGACACATACACACAGACGGCCGAGGAAAAACTGGTATATAAAAGACGCCAGTGCAAAAACAGAGCGTGCGACAAAAGAGAGGAATCGCGCGCGCCCTTAAGTTCGGTGTTCGGGAACCACAACAAGCGATTCGGGCGCCGCGGAGTGGAGCAATCACCCGTCCGTGATGTCACAACACAACCCCAATCACGCCCACCCACACTACCACTACCCGTCCCATACGACGCCGCTGGCTCTGCAGCAGCAGCAGCATCAACAGCAGCAGCAGCACGGCAGTAGTTGGTACTCACATGTTGCTTCCTACCCAGCAGCCTCGGCCTCCCACTCCCACCCCCTCTCTCACTCGGCCTTTGGCCCTGCGCCCCCTTGCAAGGCCAACATCAGCAACAACAACGCAAACAACATTATGGGCGCCTATGGAGGAGGAGTGGGAGGGAGTGGAGGCTCGCATGGATATTTCGGCGCCGCTGGCGGTGGCCTCAATGTCAGCGGGGCGGGGGGTGGTGCTGGGTCGTCCTACGGCCTTGGGGCCAACACGGTGGCATATGCTCACAACCAACTGCTGCAGTACCAGCATCATCATCAGCAAAACCAGCAGCAGCAGCAGCACATAGGCCTGGGCCAGCGATCCTATATGGGCCACGATGTCATGGCCGGGAGCTATCCCTATATCAAGAGCGAACCCTTAGAGGGGTTTCAGCAGCCGCCGAATCCAATGGCCCCACCTCCGGCACCAGAAATGATGATAAAATGTGAGTATTAGTAGTACAGAATTAATACAGTAGTTGCATGTATAATCGATTTAATAATAATTTTTATAATGATGGGGCCTCTCGGATAAGTGTATCCCATAGATAAAGCTTCGGATAGAAAAACTACCTCACACACACCGCCGCTTTTCGGAGCCATTTTCCCTATAAGTAGCGTAATTTCAGCTCAGTTTTGGCGTCGAATCAATAAAACATTTGTTGAGTTTCGCTGAGGTTTGGCGCTTGTTTCGTTCGGTTGGTTTCGTTTCCAGTCGCCTCGCCAACTTACGGCTCTGTATCTCTATCTGTGCTCTGTTCGGTTCGGTTCTGTTCCGTACGGTTCTGTTTCTGTTCTGTTCTCTCGGTGTGTTGTGTGCGAAAGTACTGATGTCTGTATGTATCCATTTAGCGAATGTATACTCTCGGATAGATGCTTTATACTACCGGCGAACCCTATGCCAATTCGATTCCTACGCACACACATCCAATAAATACGTTTACATATCATCTCCTTCTCCCCCTACGGCTTTCCGAATGGGTTGGTTGTCTTCCAAGTCGTATCTTATGTAACGTTTGCTCCCTAGACTAACCTACAAAGTTCCGTCAAAACGCCCGCCCGCCCTCTGCATTCCTTGTGATATTATTTATGTGGGCGGGGCAGATTCAAATTGCGCACATAAATACTAATTTCTAAGGTAATAGATCAACATAATTCCGGTTTTAGGATCTAAAACAAAGGTGGAATAATTTCATTTTAAAATATATATTTTTTCCAGACATTTCATTTGTCATAACTCTTTATTATCATTCTATAAATCGATATTCCTTCCACACATACTAATTTATTCTTTTTGTTTAAGTGCGGTTTAGCCGGGTGAAAGTAGGAGGGGATAATAAATATATATTGTAAATATGAAATATATCCGATTGTACAAAGTACTCAGAGCTACAAATCTCTATATTATGTGTACGCACATATCAGACTTATCAGCTGGGATTGGGTGGGAGGCACCTATCGCCTTAAAATATTATTAGAAAACCATAGAAACCGACACTGGGTACATACTTTTTCATCTGCGCATAGTTATGCCGGACAGTGCACTTTGTAAAATTTTTAACACTAATAATATAAATAAAATCAGAAAATTTAAACAACTCACAACTATTCCAAAGTTTGTTTTCAATTACTAAGGCGTTAGGCCTATAAAGAAGTTGAAGAAAATCGATGTTCCCGTGGGAAAAAATAATATTTTTCTATTCGTGTAGTGGGCTTTACAATATTTGTTTAAAACAAGAAAGGAAGCTAACTTCGGCACGCCGAAGTTTATATACCCTTGCAGATAGAACTTCTATGAATAGGAATCCATACAATATAAATTAGATATATTTGTGTTAAAAAACAATGAAGTAATACCTGCTTTCATTTCATTCACCTATACATATTATATTTGCAGTTTTACATTCACAGATTTGCATTTTTCCTCTACATCAAAAGATCGTTTGTATGGCACCTATATGATATAGTCGTCCGATTTTTATGAAATTTGCCACAAAATTTAAAACTTATATAAAATGGCTATACCTCAAATTGGATGAAAATCAGCTGAAAACTAAAAAAGTTATAAATTTAATTGTATTAATTTCTCGATCGTTCCTATGGGAGCTATATGATATAGTAATCCGATTTTCATAAAATTTTACACAAAATTTTAGAATAATATGAAATGGCTATATAATTAAAATTTGATTAAATTCTGTTGAAAACTAAAAATGTTATCGCCACCGCGATTGTCAGTCTTCCGACAACAGCCACCGCCATTCTCATTCCTCTCAAATTTCTCGATCGTTCCTATGGGAGCTATATGATATATTAGTCCGATTTTCATAAAATTTTACACAAAATTGTAGAATAATATGAAACGGCTATATCTCAAATTTAATGAAAATCTGTTGAAAACTGAAAATGTTATACTTATTAATTGAATTAATTTCTCGATCGTTCCTATGGGAGCTATATGATATATTAGGCCGATTTTCATAAAATTTTACACAAAATTGTAGAATAATATGAAATGGCTATATCTCAAATTTGATCAAATTCTGTTGAAAAATAAAAATTGTATAATTTTTTTTGTAAAACTTTTCGGATCATTCCTATGACAGCTATAAGATATAGTCGTCCGATCCGGCCCGTTCCGACATATATACGAGTGAGAGTATATAGAAGACTAACTGCAAAGTTTCATTCAGATAGCTTCAAAACTGAGAGACTAGTTTGCGTAGAAACGGACAGACGGACAGACGGACAGACGGACAGACGGACAGACGGACATGGCTAGATCGACTCGGCTGTTGATCCTGATCAAGAATATATATACTTTATATAGTCGGAGGTGCCTCCTTCACTGCGTTGCAAACTTCTGACTGAAATTATAATACCCTGCAAGGGTATAAAAATAAATTATTTAGTATATTTATATTCTTCAAACTCACAAAAACATTCCTCTTTACAGCGGAGCCCATTGACGACCTGGCCTACAAGTCAAACTACATAGACGACAATACGCCATTTGCGGACTTCAGCAAGTTTAGCGAATTCAGCGAGGACATGCTGAGTCCCAAAGTCGAGCTGACTGTCAAGGATGAGTCCTTCGTCAGGGTAAGCGAGCAGAACTGTATATGCGAAATTCAAAATTAAAATATAAAACCCGTTTCAGAACCCCAATAGCTTTTTACGCCGTAAGCAACAATCGGATCTGACGACAGCAGAGAGCCTGCCCGTCTGCCAGCGATGCAAGGAGGTGTTCTTCAAAAAGCAGACTTACCTGCGGCACGTCGCGGAGAGCAACTGCGGCATCCAGGAGTATGACTTCAAATGCACCATATGCCCTATGTCCTTCATGACCGCCGAGGAGTTACAACAGCACAAACAACAGCATCGAGCGGACAGGTTCTTCTGTCACAAGTACTGCGGAAAGCATTTTGCCACGATCGCTGAGTGCGAGTCGCACGAGTACATGCAGCACGAATACGAAAACATTGTGTGCAACGTAAGTTTCTCCTGATTGGAAGCCGCTTGTTAACTGGTTAATTGCTATATTGATTCCCCTTTGCAGATGTGCTCGGGATCTTTCGCCACGCGGGAACAACTGTATGCCCACTTGCCACAGCACAAGTTCCAGCAGCGCTTTGACTGCCCCGTATGTCGGCTGTGGTACCAAACGGCTATGGAACTGCACGAGCATCGCCTAGCTGCACCTTACTTCTGCGGTAAATACTACACAAGTGGACAATCCCCGGTCCCGTCCTCCCAACAGCAACCGCACCAGAGCCAGACGAACTACAAGCTGCAGGACTGTCATATGGCCACCATGGAAAGTAAGTTTCTATTGCCAAAAGAATGGAAAAACAAAATACTAATCCGAAAACGCTTTCGCTTCTTTCTCCCCAGTGCCAAGCGCACCGCTTCTTAAGACGAACTCATCCAACTCGCCTGCCTTGCCTGCGACAGCAGCGCTTAATTCACTGCTGCAGCAGCGCCAGGCCAATGCCGATGGAGCGGCTATTTTTGCCGCATCTTCGCTGAAGAACGAGGTTGCTGTAAAACTGGAGCGTAGCTACAGTAACTCGACCAACGAATCTTCTTATAGCGTCCAGGAGAGTGGCTACAATAATGTGTATGGCAGCAGCGACAGCTCAGTGCACGGTGCCATCGCCGGACCACAGGCACACTCTTCAACGCTGGACGACTCCGAGGATGCGCTGTGCTGTGTGCCGCTGTGCGGTGTGCGGAAGAGCACGAGTCCCACCTTGCAGTTTTTCACGTTCCCGAAGGACGAAAAGTATCTCAACCAGTGGTTGCATAACCTCAAGATGTTCCACATACCCGCTTCCAGCTACGTTAGCTTCCGGATCTGCAGCATGCACTTCCCCAAGCGATGCATCAACCGCTACTCGCTGTGCTACTGGGCGGTGCCGACGTTTAACCTCGGCCACGATGACGTAGCCAATCTCTACCAGAACCGGGAGCTGACCAACACCTTTACCACTGGCGAAGTGGCGCGCTGCAGCATGCCACACTGTACCAGCCAGCGGGGTGAGAGCAACCTCAAGTTTTACAACTTCCCAAAGGACATCAAAAGCCTGATTAAGTGGTGCCAAAACGCTCGACTCCCGGTGCAGGCAAAGGAACCGCGACATTTCTGCAGCCGTCACTTCGAGGAGCGGTGCATTGGCAAGTTCCGTCTAAAGCCTTGGGCGGTGCCCACCTTGCACTTGGGCGCCCAGTACGGCAAGATCCACGACAATCCGAAGAATCTATACGTGGAAGAAAAACGCTGTTGCCTCAACTTTTGCCGTCGGAGCCGTTCTTCTGATTTCAATATGTCGCTATATCGATTTCCTAGAGACGAAGTCCTGCTACGTCGCTGGTGCTACAATCTTCGCCTCGATCCAGGAGTGTATCGTGGAAAGAATCACAAAATATGCAGCGCCCACTTTATAAAGGAGGCGTTGGGTCTCCGTAAACTATCTCCTGGTAAGTTTTTAGGCGATTTCATGAGTACTTTAAATAATACATACAAATTTAATTTCTTTTCAAGGTGCCGTGCCCACACTTCATCTGGGCCACAATGATACCTTCAATATCTACGAGAACGAACTGTGGCCCCCGCCAACACCGACACCTTCCTCTTGTCATCTCCAACAGCAACAGCAGTCATCTATGCATTCGCTACAACAGCAGATGCATAGCAAGTCCTATCAGCGCCGTTCGGTGGCATCCACTTCGTCATCGGCTAGCTCCGCAGCTTCGCATTATGTGGACCCGGAGATGAGCGCCTCTTACCATCTAGCCATGTCCGCCTCCGCCGGAGGCTCTTCGGCCATAAACGCTAGTGACAGCATGGACGTCTGTTGTGTGCCCAGTTGCGAGAGCAAGCGACACAATAGCGAGAACATTACATTCCACACGATTCCGCGACGGCCCGAGCAGATGCGTAAATGGTGTCACAATCTTAAAATTCCCGAGGAGAAGATGCATAAGGGCATGCGAATCTGTAGCCTTCACTTCGAGCCCTACTGCATCGGTGGCTGTATGCGACCGTTTGCTGTGCCAACCCTTCAGTTGGGTCACGACGACGAGGACATTCACCGCAATCCGGACGTGATCAAGAAGCTGAACATCCGGGAGACATGCTGTGTGGCTGTATGCAAACGGAATAGGGACAGGGACCATGCCAACCTGCATCGTTTCCCTAGCAACGTGGCGTTACTAAAGAAGTGGTGCGCCAATTTGCAACGCAGCGTGCCCGATGGCAGTAAGCTTTTCAATGATGCCATCTGTGAGGTGCACTTTGAGGATCGCTGCCTGCGCAACAAGAGGCTTGAGAAGTGGGCAGTACCTACTCTGATCCTGGGGCATGAGGACATCGCCTATCCGCTGCCCACCCCAGAGCAAGTCACTGAGTTCTATGCCCGGCCCACGGCTCCTAACAACGGCGAGGAACAGGGCGAGTGCTGTGTGGAGACTTGCAAGAGAAATCCTAGCGTGGACGATATCAAACTATACCGCCCGCCGGAGGAGGCCACCGTGCTAGCCAAGTGGGCGCACAACCTGCAAACGGACGCCAACCAACTGACAAGCATGAGGATCTGCAACCTTCACTTCGAGGCGCATTGCATCGGCAAGAGGATGCGACAGTGGGCCATACCGACTTTGAATCTAGCCGGCAACATTGAGAATCTTTACGAGAACCCAGAGCAATCGTTGCTGTACAGGCGACGCACGACTCACTTGAAGACGAAGCTGCCGCCAGCCTCCGTGAAGCCCACTTGGGTGCCCAGATGCTGTCTTCCACACTGTCGCAAAGTCAGAGCCCTGCACAATGTCCAGCTCTATCGCTTCCCCAAGCTCAATCGCTCCACATTGGCCAAGTGGGCGCATAATCTCCAGGTCCCAATGGTGGGCAGTGCCCAGCGCAGGCTATGTTCGGCCCATTTCGAGCCGCATGTGCTTAGCAAAAAGTGTCCGGTGCCGCTGGCGGTGCCTACGCTCGACCTAAATTCACCACCCGGCTTAAAAATCTATCAGAATCCGGCCAAGCTAAAGGCCAGCAAACTGTGCCTGCAACGAGTTTGCATCGTCGAGAGCTGCCGCAAGACGCGGGCGCAGGGCGTGCAGCTTTTCCGGCTGCCGCATAGTCCTACACAGCTGCGAAAATGGATGCACAACATAAGGACGCGGCCACGAGCAGCTATGCGGGCTCAGTACCGAGTTTGTTCTCGCCACTTTGAGACGCACTCATTCAATGGCCGAAGATTAAGTGCAGGTGCCATACCGACTCTGGAACTGGGCCACGATGGCGACGATATCTATCCCAATGAAGCGCAGGCATTTGTGGACGAGCATTGTGCTGTGGAGGGCTGCGAGGCATCTAAGGAGCAACCGGAGGTGCGTCTTTTCCGCTTCCCCACCGACGACGACGATATGTTGTGGAAGTGGTGCAACAACCTCAAAATGAATCCGGTGGATTGCATTGGGGTACGCATCTGCAACAAGCACTTCGAGGCCGATTGCATCGGTCCTAAGCACCTGTACAAGTGGGCCATTCCTACGCAGGAGTTGGGCCACGATGACGCGCAGATCGAGCTGATCCCGAATCCCAAACCAGAGGAGAGGTATGTGGATCCCGTCTTCAAGTGCATCGTACCCACCTGCGGCAAGACTCGACGGTTTGACGAGGTGCAAATGAACAGCTTTCCCAAGGACCCGGATCTATTCGAGCGATGGCGGCACAACCTGCGCCTGGATCATCTCAGTTTCCAGGAGCGTGACCGCTACAAGATCTGCAACGCTCACTTTGAGGAGATCTGTATTGGAAAAACACGGCTCAACATCGGTTCCGTTCCAACCTTGGAACTTGGTCATGACGATGAGGATGATATTTTCCAAGTGAACCCAGCGGAGCTTCAAAGCAATTTATTCGGGCGACAGCGTCGACTGCAGCTCGAGGGATCCGGCGAACTGAGGGTCAAGCAAGAGCTATCCGAGACAGAGGACAACAACAAAGTGGATGTGATGGTCACAGGCTCCAATTCCAAGCAGGTGAGACTTTTTGGGCTTAAAAGTTGCTTTTGCAAGGGTAAATCTTTCAGTTTAATTCATGAACGTTGTTAACAATTAATTTTTTGCTTTATTACAGGTGAAAATCAAGAGATCTACTTCGGATCTAAAATGTTGTGTGCACAGTTGTGGAAGAAGTCGCTTGGAGCACGGTGCACGTCTGTTTCCTTTTCCTACGGGCAAGCAGCAGCACCTAAAGTGGCGTCATAATCTGCACTTGGAACCAGAGGAGGTGGACCGATCGACGCGCGTTTGCAGCGCTCACTTTAATCGACGTTGCATCGATGGCAAACAACTGAGGAGCTGGGCGATGCCCACCCAACAACTGGGACACAACGACCAACCGATCTACGAGAACCCGAAGAACATACCCGGTTTTTTCACACCTACCTGTGCCCTGGGCCACTGTCGCAAGCGAAGAAGTATTGACAACGATCTGCGTACCTATCGGTATCCTAGAAGCGAAGATCTTCTGGAAAAATGGCGAGCTAACCTACGATTGGCTCCGGATCAGTGTCGTGGTCGGATCTGTGCGAATCACTTCGAACCGCAGGTGCGGGGCAAGCTTAAGTTGAAGACGGGAGCGGTTCCCACACTACAACTGGGACACGACGAGGGATTGATCTACGACAATGAAGCTATAAAGGCTGGCATGGCCGAAGAAGAGGAGAGCATAACCACAGAGTTCCCGAGACTGAAACCAAAAAAGAGGTGCTCGAAGAGGAGGAGGAGGAGGGTGAAGGAATTGATGGCGAGCAGGAGCACCCAGATGACCTGGACGACAATGCCGATGAAGAAGACAGAGATGAACATTATTTTGATCCTCTTGAACTAGTAGAGACTTTTGCTGAACATCGTAGCGATGACGAAGCCCAGGACTATGAGGATGAAGAAGACGAGGGTCGGGTTGAGGACTCCCCTTCCAGGTACGATTTGAAGGAGGAGATAGAACAGCTTCCAAGCTCCCCACCTTCCCCTCTTCCCCGGCGTTACCAAGCTCCGCGTCGAGACAAGCCGGCTAACAACGTAACGCCCATTTGCTGCCTGAAGCACTGCAGGAAGGAACGTACTGCCTTCCACCTCCTGAGCACTTTCGGATTCCCAAAGGATCGTCAGTTGCTGCTAAAGTGGTGTGCCAATTTGCATCTAAACCCGGACGACTGTATCGGTAGGGTTTGCATTGAGCACTTCCAGTCGGAGGTACTCGGCACCCGTAAGCTTAAGCAGAATGCCGTGCCCACCCTTAATGTGGGACATGAGGAACCGCTTAGATACTCGTGTCATGGCGTGGATCAGAATCTCGAGGAGCGGGACCCGCAGCCACAGCATTCGGTTTTTCGGCTTTGGAGCCTGAAACACTGCCGAAAAAGGAAGCTAACGGAGCCGCCGGATATTCCCCTAGCCAAGAGGAGAGCGCAGGAGATGCCTATGTTGAAACGAGAGTGGGAGATGGAGATGCCGATGCCAATGCCGATTCAGATGCAGATGGAGCGGAAGAATGAGGCAAAGAATATAACTCAAACTAAAAATGAATCATATATATGCTGTATCAGCAGTTGCGCAAACCAGGAAATTAGCCAACTGCTGGCTTTTCCCGAAGAGAAGTTCCTGCTAAGAAAGTGGAGACATAATTTAAGGATGTCTGAGACTGACCCTACTTCTCTAAGCCTGAAAAAAGTTTGTGTGGCGCACTTCGATTCGCAGCTGTTGGAGAATGGAAAACTCAGGAAGGATGCAGAGGCAAAAGCTGTGCCCACTGTGAACGTGGGCCACAGCAGCTGGAACCTTTACAGAAGCAATGGGATCTGTCTGGTGCCAGAATGCAGCCACACAACCTTCGGACGCGTAAGCTTCATCGACCTGCCGGATAACAGCATAATTAGGGACGCTTGCTTCTCCTGCCTCAATCTACCTGAATCCTGCGAGGAGCAGGCGAGACTATGTAGTATCCACTTTATGGAGGCATACAAGAAGTTAGATCTTCCTAATGTTCTGCACCCCCAAGTAATAGAGGCTCTACAAAGTGCTCTGGACGAAATGCAATGTGCGGTACCCGGCTGTTGTTATAAGGATGCTGATCCGAATATTTACCTAATCCAGCTTCCCGGTAACAAGGAGATGCTGTCGAAGTGGCTGCACAACACCAAGGTCCCCTACGATCCTTCTAGGCGCCAAAGCTATCGTATCTGCACGAACCACTTTGAATTAGATTACTTGGATACGAATGGCCCGCTAAAGGGGGCTATACCGACGCTCCACCTAAACCATGAAGATGAGATTCACTTAAATACTAGGCCCTTGCCAGAGGAGCAGGGCTCTATATTAACTCCACTGCGGATAAAGACGGATGTGGCCTTCCTGGGCAGTCCCTGTGCAAGTGCAAGCCCCAGTCCACGGGGCAGAATCCGGATATGCTGCATTCCCACATGTGGACAGATTGGAAGCAGTCAAGTGAGGCTGTTTCGTTTTCCCACCGAGGAGCAGGCGTTGCTCCGGTGGCTGGTGAACACACAACAGCAGCCAAGACTGGTAGATCCCACGGACTTGTACGTGTGCCAGTCGCATTTTGAGCCGGAGGCCATTTGCAAGAAGCAACTTCGAAGCTGGGCTGAGCCCACACTAAACCTGGGACACGACGGTTATGTAATTCCAAATGCCAAACATAATGGAAATATTTCGGACAGCCAAGATACTGAGGAAGCAATGAGATTTATTCGGGAACGCTTCTGCTCAGTCATTTCTTGCTTTCAGGCAGGAGGACAGGATGAGGAGGGAGTGAGGCTATTTGACTATCCCGAGGATATGGCGGCTACTCGAAAATGGGCAGCCGCATGCAGACATCGCTCTATGCAGGCCAGGAGCCATGGCTTCAAGGTGTGCCAGTTGCACTTCGCTAAGGAATGCTTTGACCACAATACTGGAGACTTGATTGAGGGTGCTGTGCCCACTTTGGAGTTGAGCAGAGATGAAATGGAGAGGCAATGTCTTGTGGCTGGATGTGTAAAAAATGATGCCAATGGAACTCGCCTCCGCTACTTTAAGATACCAAAAGTTGCTGCCCAATTGGAAGCGTGGAGCAATAACCTTAAAATCCCTCCATCGGATCTCATGCAAGGGGAGCAGCAGTACATCTGCGAGAAACACTTTGAGGCGTTCTGCTTCGGGGCCAATAAAGGACTGCGTTCTGGTGCTCTTCCAACCCTCCTGCTAGGCCATGATGAGGAGGTGGATATGCTTCCAAATCCGGAAAGCCTTTTATGCCAGGATACGTGCTGCGTACCGGGATGCGGGCGTATCTGGCAGACTGGGGATCGTAAGTTTCGCGGATTTCCCAAATTATTGGCCATGGCCAAAAAATGGAGGCATAACCTTCGTCTGGTAGAGCCCGTGGAGCAACTAGCCAAGCTGAAGGTCTGCAGTACTCACTTTGAAGCAACCTCACCCAACCTGGGCTCAAATGGATTATGTTCTAGTACCTCGATACCAACCCTGGAATTGGGTCACTCTTCTCCGGATATTTACCCAGCGGATATCAGCTTTAAGTTCCAAAAGCGGTCCGGAATGCCGGCGAAAATTTATTGTTGTTATCCCAAGTGCGAGGAAACCTGTTTGCCCAAGAATCTCTCTTACGGGCTTCCCCAGGACGAGCATCTAAGGAAAGCCTGGCTAAACCATATGGACATAGAAGATCCGAAAGACGAAGGAGTCGCTCTGCTTTGCCCGCTGCACTATGTCATTCTATATCAGCACAGTGCCACACACCATCCGGAGCATCATGCTTCAAGCAGAATGTTTCTTGAAGACAACTACAATGAAGCGCGGAACAACAGGCGTTTGAAGATTGTGAGCTGTACGGTCAAGGGCTGTGACATGGTTAAGCCCCGGGATGGTGTAGCACTGCACGGGATGCCGCAAAACAAAGACATTCTGCAAATGTGGATAGACAATGGCCAGATTGAGTTCTTAGAGCAACAGCGGTACATGTTCAAGGTGTGTCACAATCACTTTGAGCCATGCTGCTTCTTCGACGACAGACGTTTGCACTCATGGAGTGTGCCCACTTTACGCTTACCTGGCGACGTAATTCATCAAAATCCTACCGCCGAGCAGTGGCAGAGCATGATTAAGAAGCAAGAAGCAGCAAACACATACGCAGAAGAGAGCGATGAGCCAGAGCCATTTGAGGACGTAGTTAAAACCGAGCCCATTTTGAAGATGGAGCATATCGAATCGGAATATGAAGATGAAAACCCTGAGATGCAAGCCCTAGAGGTCCTCCTAGAAGTTGGCCATGTCGAGCGAATGGAGAGTTATGAAAAAATTGATAAATCACCTTTGATCTACAACGATAATGCACCTTTTCGATCTTCACCCATACGTTGCCAATACAATGCTAATCACTGTGCCGTAGAAGGATGTGAGGTGACTGTTGAGGATGTGGACGGCACGATTAAACTGCACAAATTCCCCGCGTCGCAGGAAGCCGCACAGAAGTGGATGCACAACACCCAAGTTGACATGGACGAAAAGTTCTGGTGGCGCTACCGCATATGCAGTTACCACTTTGATCAAGAGTGCTTTCAGAGTGCTAGAATTCGAAAAGGCGCGATGCCCACGCTTCTGCTAGGACCTCGGCGACCGGAAACGGTGTACGATAATGAATTTGCACTACCAGATGGGGAAGAACCTTTTCTAGAGCCACCGGAGACTCAGCTTGAGGATACTATGACTGTGGCGTCCAGACTTCGAAAGGAGGTGTCTAATTTATGCCTGCCCCCACGGGCGCCGCCTCGAAAGTCAAGCAAGTTCTGCCAGATTGATTCTTGCACGAACCATCTAAACACTGAGAACATGACTCTTCACAAGTTTCCCCATTCGGAGGACATGTGCCTCAAATGGCAGCACAACACGCAAGTCCCATTCGACCCATACTACCGTTGGCGTTACCGCATTTGCAGTGCGCATTTTCATCCGGTCTGTTTGGTCAATATGCGTCTGGTCCATGGAAGCGTTCCCACTTTAAAGCTGGGACCCAAGGCTCCTTCCGAGCTGTTTGACAACGATTTCGAAGCCATTAACCTAAGGTTGGATAAAAGGTTGACAGAGTCCAATGCTAATGTGTACATTAAGCATGAAAGGGAAGAGGATGAGGATTCTATGGTGTTCCTGGAGCCGGAACTCCAGTTACACGATGATCAAGACGATAAGATATCAAGCTGGAACAGCAAACTACAATTACAACCTGTGAAGCAAGAGAAAATTGTTTACAGCCAGATCAAGTCTGGCTATGATAAGTGTTCCCTGGCTCACTGCCAGCGCCAAAGGTCCCAGCATGGCGTCCACATTTATAAGTTTCCCAGATCGAGGCGGCAACAGGAACGTTGGATGCACAATCTACATATTCGCTATGATGAGCGGACACCGTGGAAATTCATGATCTGCAGCGTTCATTTTGAGCCGCACTGTGTCAGCCTCAGGAAGCTGCGACCTTGGGCTGTGCCCACACTGGAACTTGGTGACAATGCACCAGAACAATCTTTTCGAACGAACAGTGCGAGAAGGAGCTGCTGACCGATCGCAGTGATCTGGATAGCGATGCGGAGGACGAAGACGGCTTACAGGAGGACGACGATGATGAAGACGAAGACGATGTGAAGCCCGATGTAATTGGCATAAAAAGGAGGAGACGTTTTAAGATAGATTCCACCTGCCCTTCAAGCCAGATTGCACCCTGGAAAGTTAAACAATGCTGCCTCCCCTATTGTCGTGCCTTTCGAGGGGATGGCATCAAACTGTTTCGGCTTCCGAACAACCGAAACTCCATTAGCAACTGGGAAAGGGCCACCGGCATGGTATTCAAAGAGTCGCAAAGGAACACTCGACTAATCTGCAGCCGTCACTTCGAGCCAGAGTTGATTGGAGTCAGGCGTCTAATGCGTAACGCCATTCCCACGAAGCACTTGAGCCCTCAAGCAGTTAACCAGATCCGTACTAAAAAGGAGAAGAATCCTCCTGCCACTATTATACCCATCTGCTGCATGGCGGACTGTCACTACAATGGAAATGTGAAGCTGCACAAGTTTCCAAGTGGTAAGAAAAGAAACAAATTAAACGATCTTTCTTTTTTATTTTGTGGAATTGAAAAATAATGATTTACATTTCTTTTCTTTGGCAGATCCTACTCTTCTCAGACAGTGGTGCCAGGCTCTCCGGCTCACTGATACGCAACGGTATTTGGGCAAGCACATTGCTCCATGCACCTGCCAATGAACAAGACGTTGAGTTGTGTCATCTGCGGTGGGGACAATGTAGAGTTGCCGATGTTAAGGTTTCCGGAAAACCGCAACCAGCGCGCCAAATGGTGTTATAATCTCAAAATTGATACAATACCAAAGTGGGACCACTCCAAGCACATTTGCTGCCGGCACTTTGAGTCCCATTGCTTCGACAAGCCGGGTGAGCTTCGTCCAGGAGCGGCTCCCACGCTCCATCTCAATCACGATGACACAAACATATTCTTCAGCGACTATGCCACTGGTCTTCCGTCCTCGCCACTAGGCAATCGAATCAAAGACGAGCCCCTGGAATCTGAGTCCGACGAGATGCTGCTGGTGTAGTCTCCCCTGTTCCCACTCGAAATCATTTTATTCTAGGTTTTAGCTCTACTATTTTATAGGCCCTTTTGTACATTTCTCGTACCCGTGCCACACACATCACGTCTTCTAGTTTTTACCAAGTAGTCTCTACCATCTACCAGTGATTTTAATGCGTTATTTATTCGTAAGTGACTTAAGGAAAAATTGCCATACATTGAAACGTATAACACGAAATGTTCCTTAAGTTTTTGTTTTTACTTTTATACATAAACACATACATATGTACTGCGAGAAAAAATATGATTTAGTTTCCACGATATAGATATACATATATATACCATAAATATACAAATGTAATAAGTAATATTCTGGAGCGTATATGTATGTGTAGAAATGTAGAGGACCCAGTAATAATTGGTGTTTTGAAAATGAAACTAACAGCCACTCGGAGAGTGGCTCACATCTCAACCCTAAACCGTGTTTTATTTCCTATGGCCTAGAATCTTGAAAATTAAGTAGCTAGCAGTTAAAATTTTTTTTTTTTTTGGCGTTTCAGCTGCTACTGTTGCTACTTTCTCAGCCAGTCATAAGTCACAGTTTCGAATTCGGGTTCGGTGCTATAAAATATATGTATGTATATCCAACTCTAATCAAACGTCCTATGTCTGGAAAAGCCGCAACATTCGATTGGAAGATTAAGTGAGAGGAAATTTGACTAACAGCGAGTGATCACGAGTTGAAACTGCACGAGGAGCTTTCATACATTGATCTGACAAAGAACAAAGTAACAAATTTAACAACTCGTGTGTATGTGTGTACATCAATGTTTATATATTTTAGTATACACATTAAATTGTTTTAAATCCCGTATAATTTAAACGTATTAACTTATTGGCATTCAAATAATAATACAAAAAAAAAAACACTTAAATAATAATTCTTTCTTACACGGTCTACTTTTTCCCTTAAAATTGGTTTGCATTCTATCTGTATTCGACATCCCACCCCATAAGCCCGGGCTAGTGATGCTTCCCTCCCTCATTTGTAGACGAACCATCTTCGTGTTGAGCGTAGCTGGCGTCCAGAAAAAGATTTCGATCCGATTGTTGGACTGAAATAAAAGGTCAAGGGATAAGTGAGGAACATGTTGACAAGGAAAGGCATTTCTCACCTCGCGATACTTTTGCAAATATATGGATAGCGGCTCCACGAATTGTCAAATCCCAAATTACTGAAGGCCACAAGCAGATCGTCCCCATTGACGGTTTTCCGGTTCTCGGCCACGCTGCGCTCTATGGCCTCACTGCTGATGAAGGAAATAAACTCGGAAACGCACTCCTGGATGCACTCGCGGGCATCCTTTGCTATCTTGCCGTTTTGCGGAACCGGCACCTTCATGATTTTGATAATGTTGCAGATGGGCAGGAAGCGGTCCTGCCCCGCAACATAATGCTGCCGTCCTGTTTATCCGACTCGTCTGATGGAAGCAATGCATGTGAACACAACAGGCAAAGGAAACTGTTACATTAGCTTACCGCCGACGCCTCGTCCTCCTCCTTGACCATCATGTCGTTCAGATACTGTTGAGAGTCCTCGCTGTTGCTCATTTTCTAAACGCTACCGAACCTTAATATTTTAATTTTACTTTTATGGCGGCTGTTTTTGTTAGCTGGAGTAAGTGTCCCTTATGCAAATCAACTCTCCTTTTTCCAATATTTGTTTGTTTATTATTAAACAGCGGATGGATTTTTTTGTTGTCATTTAGCGAATTACGTTCTAGTGGTGGTGGGTTTTGTGCACTATCGATTGCTTTGCCGATAGTCGATTCGGTGTGCATGTGATAACTCGCTATCGCTGTATCGATAACTGATAGACAACCGATCGCAGCGCAGCGGTATATTTTTTTGCGTTCTGCTTGGAAAACATCCTCAAATTAAAGCCTAAATGCATGTGAATTTGGCCATAGTGAAGCAGGAAGTGGACATTGACGATACTAAGATCAAGCTGGAGCCGGATGATCAGTTGTCGGATAACAGTACCGTTCCAATCTCTTGGGGTAAGCGTGCATGCAATTCGCTCTCTGCACACAGGCGGCGTCTGTGTATATGTATGTGACTCTCTGGGCTTTGGGTGTCTCTTATTTTATTACGCACTATACCGTTAACTTTTTTATGATTTAAAAAATATATTGCAGCGGGCGAAGCTTGGGAAATGATCGACACGGAAGACTCACAAACGCTAACATCGATGATTAGCGAGCGAGTCTTCGCGGGAGGATCGCATGTCCGTTGAAAGAATGGGCAGTAGTGGCAGCCAGCAACAGGTAAGCAGAGCAATCCATCCATAACCTATAAAACAATGAGGAATAAAGGGCGCAGGGATGTAATGATGAATGAATGTTATTATAAGTAGTGTCGTTAAATATATAAATTTTTAAAGGGAGAAGACAAATTAATACAATGTACTGTATTGTATTTTAAACCACTCAAGCAACTGGAGTTCCCTACTATATGTACTTATATTTGATTTTAGGTTTCAAAGCCATTCGAATGCAGAATCTGTAACTTTGTTTTCAACAAGCACCTGGATATTTCGGAGCATATGGTGGACCATCAAATGAACCGACACTTCTGTAAGTTCGGATGTGGTGCGTGGTTTGACTCTCTGGAGAAGACCCTGGAACACGAGTATCGGCAGCACTCTCAGCCCGGCTTGCACTCTATTGTAGGGTGAGCTTTCAAAACTTCTATATTTTTATATTGATTTTAATCTCATAGTTTTATATTTAACTAGATCTGCGATTTCATGACCAAAGATGCGGACAACTTGGCCAGACATATGCATAATCATGTTTATGTCTATCGTTTCGTCTGTGCCATTTGCCGACATCATTTCGATTCCATTGATAAAATCAAGCGGCACCGAAACAATAGCAGAAGCCTCTGCGTCAGGTGAGATACATTATGAAGCCTCTACCAAAGCCGAGTTGGTGGCAGTCAGTGCCGCGCCCGTTTCTGGCCAGTCATTTTGCGATGTGAATATTAAGGAGGAACCACTGGAATTGGAAGAAGAAATGGCGCAGATGCCAGTGGAGGTCATCAAAGCCGAAACCCACGATGTAGATGAAGAACTTCATGAAGGTAATA